GGCATATCAATATAGCAAAATTTAGTGTTAATAACAAATAGTGTAAATTATTTAAAAAAATCATTTGCAAATGGTTTGTTCGTTTAAATGTTAATAATTAATTTGGGGGAAAGCAATAAGTTCGTTATTATAACGATTTCTCGAAATTCTCGTCAGACGAGTCGTTGGTGTCATCCCATGTACAGGTAAGGCTGAGTGCTGGTATCTAAAGTCGTGTTTTACCCTGATATTATAGATTGCAATGCTTGATAAGTGTATTAACGTAATTGTTCAATCCCTTTGTATTGATTTATGATAATTGAGACGAGTCGTTGGTGTCCTTCCGTGTACAGAGACAAATGATTGAGAAAATGCCGCGAGAACAACACTGCATAGTGCTTTGTTGCCAATGAGTATAAATTAGATATTAATTTATTTTAATGGCCCGTAGATACAGTAACGAAATTTGTCTTAGGTGACAGTTCCGGTGATATCAATTAATAGATTGAGATGGAACTTTTTTATTAGAGGGAAGTGTAAGAGAGGGAAATTATAATGATTAAAGGATGGGAAATGATCGGCTTATGTCCTAGAAAAAATCATGGGATGAACACTGACAGAATGGGCGTGAGGGTTTCGCTTCCGTTTCACGTATTTATTAAAATGATTATTGATTTATAATTTGTAGGAAAGGGGGGTATAGAGTTAATCTTAGATATGAATTAAATTATTTGAGAATATTGATTATTTAAATTATTGTGTTTGTTGTTATTTATAGAATGATATGCCACCTGTTCATTATTTGTTTACTAAAATGTTAATGGTTAAAATGTTTCTATGACCGTTATAATAATAATCACACTCAACAGAGGAATGAATTAATTCCAAACCTCACGAGCCTTAAATGACCGTTATAAGTCACGCTACCCAGAATTTAACGGTACAGTAAATGCTGTAAGAATAGGCCTACATTTGAATGAATTGGCAAATGAAAAACTCACAAATATGAGTTACAAAAATTGAGTGAAATAGTTACATTGATATAGGGAAAATCCGTCCTCTACATTTATATATACAATATATATATATATATATATATATATATATATATATATATATATATATATATACACACACATATATATATGCATGTATGAATATTCACATGTGTGTTTATATGTATACATATAGATATAAATGTACATACATATGTGACTTTGTGTGAATGTGTGTGTACATATATGCATATATATGTGTGTATATATATAATATATATGTATATATAGATATAGATATTTGTGTGTGTGTGTGTATACATGTATATATATACAATATAACACACACACACACACACACACACATACACACACACATATAATATTATATATATATATATATATATATATATATATATATATATATTTAGAGAGAGAGACTGAGTATATTTATACAATATATATACAATACACTTGTGGGTGGGTAGGTGTGGATGTGATAAATAACGTTTAATTTTTTTTTTTCATAAATAAAGGCAACCTTCCGTGAACATAACTAACGTATCTTAAAAACTAAATGTAAAGTTAGTGATAACCGACATATATCTAATATTTATTCTTAAATTAATAGAATACTGAGTATAATGAACGAGGCTATTATGTCTGTGTCAGACACAGCCAATCTCTATAGAGATAATGGGAAATAACACAAATGTAAGAGAACAGTACCTGAGGCGAGACGGCAGGTGCTCATCCTCTTTGACGTTAAACATGATGTCACTGGTGGCGCTGCACTGTGTCTGATCACGAAGATATTTTAGGAATTATTCAAATGAATTTTGGAAGTAGCTCACAGTTGGGGCGGGTTATAACATTTAGCCTTCCGGCTCAGAGATATCAGTAAAATGATAAACAGTAGAAATGTAAAAGAGAAATTACCTGTGCTGTGCGGAGGAAGTAGAGTTGAATGGGTGTCAGGTCCAGGAAAGGCAGCTTTGGCTCCGAAGTGTTGGTCGAAGGCAAGGGCTTAGGAGGTGCCGGAGGCGGCATCAAGGCCTGGCGTTTGGCCCGAGCCCCCGGGGGATACCAGTCCAGGGACCGTCGCCGGCGGCTGGTCTGGCTGCCTCCACCCCGGCCACCTGCCGGAGCGTCCAGCAAGGCAAGGTTAGCATCGAGGAGGGAGGTCAACGTCGCCAAGGGAAATGCTGGCTCATACTAATGAAGACTAGCAGTGTAAAACTTTTGACAATACAGTGGCATGTCAAGTAATATAAGTGTAAGAAGACAACCAAGGAACATCATGAAGTGTATCGAATGTCTAGGCTTTGTCAATTTAGATGTTTTGGGAACGTGTACAGATTACCTTGTGTGATATGCTCTTTCGAAAGAACATACTGTGTAAATACCTGTGAGAGGTGTGCTTGGCGACGATGTTGGAGCGGCAGCGTCTGTGACTGTTGGGAAGTGTACAAGTTATTGTATTGTTGAGGTACATTTGTCGTTGTACTTGTTGTTCTCATCATCCTCGTTCTCGTGTTGATTTGCGGTATATTATTGTAGTTTAAAGCTTGATATGCAGTATATAATTGTAGTTTAAAGCTTGATATGCAGTATATAATTGTAGTTTAAAGCTTGATTTGCAGTATATAATTGTAATTCAGAATATGTAACTGTAAGCTAGGGCATATAATTGTAATTTACTGTATTAGGATTGTAGTTTAAAGTATAATATTGTGTTATAATCTAGAGTATTCAGTTGTTCTTAAGTATACAATTATTAGAGAATACGATTGTAATCCAGGGCAGATAAATGTATCTTGATATTACAATATTAAGGGAAGCTATTAAACTGAAATTTTCTTACACGACTGAATTTGCTGCATATAACTGCAATTACGTTCTGTAACTGTAATTAGCCTAGATACCTTTACTTAATGGTAATTTGTTCAAATCACCTAATTATGCCTCATTACAGATTGATTTTTTCAAAGATTGTATAACAAACACTTTACTTATTTAAAGGCAGACGTTTAAGGCGAATAATCATAATAATATCATAGTGAGCAAAGACGTACATATGAGTCGTTAGATTTACAACATTAAGGTAAAACTGTGACGTCTGAATGAGACAACTCGCGCTTTTCCCTTTGCCCTTTCACTATCCTTCTTCCCTTCCTCCCTTTTTCTGTTTCTGCGCTTCTTGATCCATTCACAGGTGACTGTGTCTCGAATTACTCACGTAAGGAGATGTAGGTTTCCCAAGCCAGTCTGGTGGCCGCCGAGTCCGAAAGAAGTTCGTTGAGGGCCAGGCGGTGCGGCAGCTGTATGAGAGAAAACGGAACTTATGCATAGGCTCGCATAAACTCAAGCAAGTTGTCTCTCGACTTGGGTAAAATTACATTGATTAATTTACTCAAGATATTTCATTATCTGAATACTTCTTACTTATAAAATCAGTCATGCATTTTAAACAAACTTAAAAGGTAGACTGACCGTGAAGTTTGTGTCAAGGTCTGCTGTTGTATTAACAACTTGGGGATAAATGAGTTTTTCTGACAGACACTCAGTATGAGGTACATAAAGGTGACTCTCAGGGATCTTATCCTGGTTCCTTTTTTCACCGTCGTAGTAGATACCTGTGGAGAACGTCACACTTTATGTTCAAATGTCAGCAAAAATAATATTCCAATACCTCTAACGTGTCACAATTTTTCATCTAGGTAGAAGCCTCTATGCCTATTTCCTTACATTTTACAAGATTCAGAATTACAAACATGAATATTTTGTAATATAAAATAAGAAATATGAGCATCCGCTGTTTCACCCAGAACCATGAGCCCTTTCTAGCCCTCGGGGCCCTACGCACGAGTAGGTGGGCGAGAGGTGTATTTATTCATTCATGATAAAAGCTTCAGCCGCCCCATGAGCCCACCGGGAGCCCATTTGGACAGCCAGTGTTATAGTGGTGGTCGATGCTTGAATTTTTGGGGGTAGCGCGAGTAATGATTACTATAGGAAAGATTTTATGTTTTTCTATGGATTGTGGATGGATGTGATGAGCAGGGCGGCACTGAGGAGAGATGACATCAAGGTGCGACAGCGAAATGAAGGAATGATTGTGTGGTTAAAGCGTTGCAGGGTAGTGTTCTGGTAAGGGAATGACAATATATTGCTAGAGTGAGGTTGTGGTTGAGTTATTGAAAAAGGGGGTTGGTGGAAGAATTGCATGATAATTGAGTACTATTTCTGTATTTTTCTCTGAAAATTATAATTTCAGGTGATCTGATTCCAAGAGTAATCATTTTACATATTCTTGTCGAAAAAAAAATCGATTGGATTTTTTCTTTAGTGAAAGATGTGGACGATTGTTTTAATCGATTAATCCCGCCTCTACAATGGTGCATGTGCATAAAAAGGGCTCTGTGCTCACCTGTGCCGTCAAAGCTGTGCATGAGCTCGTGAGCGATCATGTGCCCAATGCCAGCGAAGTTGATGTAATTGGGGACGTCGTCGCCATAGAAGAGCGGCGGCGTCATGGCACCGTACGGGATCACTGCAAGGGAAGCTCCAGTCAGACAGTGGCCGGAAATGAGAACACTGTGTACGCGTCTTTGCTCGCAATATGTGAACGCTATCTAGTGATTTATGCAATTCTATATGCATAATTTGTTGAACACAGTTTAGTTTATCATATCTTGTTATTTTATGCAAAAGGAGAGTAGTTAAAACTCACAGAATTTGTTCATGGCGTAGACGTAGGTACCGTAACTTTTGTAAGGTAGAAGGAACTGATTCCACCTGCAACAAGATAGTTGATGAAAGCACAAACCTAAAATCCTATTTTCCAGGTGTTCTGGGTAAGAACTGACCTTGAAGGCTGGCCTTGCTGCTAAGCGACGTCTTACACGCTCTGTAACACGCCGGGATCAATAGTGAACTTTGCCGAAAACTAACCACTCTAGCAGCCAATGACATAACAAGGCCGTGAAAGCACAGGTGCTGAACTAAAGTTCAAATCTGTGCGGCAGAATTGACAAAGGTGCTTTTGGGCAGCTAACTTACTGTCTTCACTTTGATGAGATGTGGATATACTACTTACAGAATCCTTTGGCAAACCAATAGAATGAAATTGGAATCCATTGACTAGTATTGTCGAAAAAAATAACAGCAGATAAACTAATAAACAAAAGTTGCAAAATATTAAGTATATATCACTCGAAGGCCTACCTCTAAATTATAAACAATGAGGGGAAAAAAGTTAACGACTATGATAATGCTAAACTGATAATGACAACGAAGATGATGGCAATAGTGATGATAACAATAGGGGTAATGATCATGATGGTAAGGATAGTTTTAATAATGATAATTATAGAAATAATAATTACATTAATAAAGGTAATAATGATAACAGCAATGAAAATGATAACATTAAATTTTGATAATCATGATAATAATAATAACAATAAGAAGAAAACAATTATATATGACAATACTAGTAACATTTTCAATAAACCTGCGCAGGCAACTTACATAACTTCCGGATTGGAGGGACCTCTTGTATACATACTGTATAAGTAAGATCTGTACCGCAGCAGGAGTGTCCGGCAGTCTTCAATGAAGTTCCCAGTACTATTCACCTAAAAGACAAGAAAACATTTTATATTGTCGTTTTTAGACGTGGTAGTAATGACTAGGGTTGGGGAAATATATTTGCATTGATGACAATTACGTTTATCAAGATGATGATTCTTAAAAGAAAATATGATAGCCGTTATCAACTGCCATTTAGTATCATGTCATTCATTGCAACTCTCACTGCTACCATATTTGTAACGATAAACAGAATAATGATAAAGATATTCCATCATCATTATCGTTATCATTATTATTAGTATTGTAGTGATTATTATCATTATTTTTGTTATTATCATTATTTTTATTATTATCATTATTTTTGTTATTATTATCATTATTTTTGTTATTATCATTATCAACCTTATCATCATTATTAGTAGTAGTAGTAATGGTAGCAATAGTAATAGTATCATTATTGTTAGTATTGTCACTCTTACTATTGTTATTATTATTATTACTGTTGAACTGTAATCGTGTTGACAAATGTAGAAAGGTATGAATAAGAATGCATCCATAGATGTATTTCTGACGAAGATATATTCAAAACCGGTCAAAAGCATCTCTCGTATTGTGAAGATATTAATTTTCATCCATTCTTTTCTACATGATTATTGTTCTTGTTGGCATTATCATTACTTAATTATTGCTTTATTATTATTATTATTATTGTTATCATCATCATTATCATTTTTGATAATGATGATTATTACTATTTTCATCATTCCTATCATTATCATTATCATTATTATTATTATTACTGGTATTATTGTTTTTATCATTATTATTATCATTACTGCTATTATTATGATTATCATTATCATTTTATTACTTTTATCATTATCATTGTAGTTATTTTTTATTATTACTGTTCTTATCAAAATTATTATCATTATCATGACCACTGCTATTATCACCATTATTATTGTTATTGTTATTATTATTTTTTTCGCTTTTATCGTTGCTATTATTTTTTTTCGCTTTTATCATTGCTATTATTATCATTTTTTCGCTTTTATCATTGCTATTATTATCATTTTCATCTTTATTATCATTATCTGAATAATTATTGTTATAATCAATATTATCATTATTGCTATTGTTATCACTATAATTATCATTATTATTGGCTTTATTCTAATTATCATAACTATTAATATTATCATTATTATGATTATTATCACCGTTGTCATTATTATAATCATTAATACTGTTATTATTACTATTTTCATTATTGTCATTACTATTATTATCTTTATTTTTCTCTTTATCGTTAGCATTATTATTATCATCATTAGTAGCAGCAACATTAATATTATCATTATATTATTATTATTATCATTATTTATGATGATTTTATCCTTATTACTATTATTATTATTATTATTATCATCATCATCATCATCATCATCATCATCATCATCACCATCACCATCATTATTACTTTTACCATTATCCTCATTATCATTATTATTTTATTACCATTAATATTATTACTATTATTTCTTATTATCACTATCATTATTATGAATACTGCTATTGCTATTATTATCATTATCATTTTTATTATTATCCTAATAATAAGGATCATTATCTTCATACTATAATTATTTATGTTATAATTAATTTATTATTATCGTCACTTTTATTACTTTTACGATTATCATTATTTTTTATCATTATCCTGCAAATTGTCATCACTATTATTATTGTCATAATCATTTCCATTATCATTATTGTTATTGGAGCAATGTGATTTTTTTTTACTTCGAATTTAACTTGATTTTTGTATCGCCTGCATTACCTACCGGTAATTGTCCCTCGCTTACGATAAACTGAAATATTTCCATCGAATGGTCTTGTCCTATAGCTTTTTACACCATTGAACTATTCATAATTAGTAATAACTGTATCTGGAAATATTCAGTTATAGCTAATTTGATTGCTATATACTGATTATTGCATATCGGTCGAGGATCACAAAATAAAAAAGGATGAGAACAACTACACTAGAGTCTTTGTGTGCAGTGCTGATGCTATCTTACCCCCATCATGCTCTGTGCCAGGATGTTTTTTGAGGTCTGGAGGTCCATCGTCTCGCCGGTCATTTTGCGCAGCTTCTCGACGAGCAAGTTGCTGGACGAGGAAGGATGCGCTCGAAGGAGTTGCTCTTCGGCCGTCTTCTTCGTCAGTCGGACCATCGTGTTGATCTGCGAAGGTTCAGTGCAATGTTAAAATGACATCGGTGAGCCTGGATTCTCGAATGGAGGGTGGAAGGACGATGTTCTAGTTGCAACAATCAGTTTTGCAGTAAATGTCCTTATTTTTGCTTTGACTTGCTTGATCGTCCGCCTCTACATGTATGCAGAGGCAAATAAAGAGAGAAACCCCCAGTCTATGTTTCAGTCACTGATACAAGGAGGAATGGCCACGCCACCTGTTGCTGATACTCGTCGAGGCTGGGTCCCAAGGCCTCCAGGTAGAGGTAAGACGAGAAGTCGTGCATGAGATTCTTGACGATGCGGAGGCAGTAGTCGGGAGAGCCCATGGCAACCCCGAGGGGGTCGACGAAGTCGTTGTACAGCTGTTCACTCCACAGCATCATGAACATGGCATGAATGTTGGATGCGCTGAAACACGATGAAACGACGAATAAGCTCGAGGTGGTCAGTGTAGACGGGAATATTACCTTTTGTCTCCAGCCCAATATTTTTCACACCTCACATCTTCAGATAGTTCGTTATAGTTTACTGCCATTATCATCATCATTCTACTGCAGATCACGACCCGTTTCCAGACAATGTCGACAGATGCGGAACCTACTCGTAAATATTTTCGTTAACGTGCTCGATGATTCTCTGCAGCCTGTCTTTGAAGTAGACCTGCAACTTAATGGTCTTGGGGTCGGCGCTGATGCCCAGCAGATCGGATACGAGTTTGTGCCAGTCGATCTGAAGCAGATGAGTGTGAGTTAGGAAGGCGGTCTGGCTCCTCAGCTGATCTTCCACTATCTCAGTTTTTATACCAGAGTGAAACAAAATACATGGCTTTGTACATATCAAATGTGTGTCTGTCACTGTGTGATTGTGCGTTCGTGTGAATGTTGTGTATGGGCGGGTTCGTACGCGAGCGTCTACATAAGAGTCCAAGGTCTAAACAAGTGTTTGTGTTCGCATACACGTGTATGCGAGTGCGCGCATGAAAGTGTGTGCACATAGGATTAAATCTCACATTCTCGCTGAATCCTTCCAAAGCCATCAACTCGGCTAAAGACATTGTGTCGTACTTCTTTTCCAAATTATGCAGACGGAATGTTGACTTCTCGGGAAATTCCTGTAAATAAATAGATAAATAAAAAGTAGAGTGCAAGGCACGGATGAAATGAAAAATGTATGCGTTTATGCAGGCTATCTTCATTTAAATATATCAGCATCGGCAGAATTACTAGCCTGCACAATTGGCTGAATGAAGAAATCCAGGTCGATTATGACTTGATTGAGCCTTTGCGTCATGTTCACTTCAGTGTGATTGCCGATTAGATCCATGTTCTTCACCATTTCCTTCATTTTCATGTAACGAGCATTCGAGCCTTTGCCTTTCCTCTGTAAGAGAAACACTAAGTTTAATCGACTCATGGAGATCTCTGCTTCATCACGCATGAAATTCTTTCAGCCATATCATTAAAGAATGAATTTCTACTCACCACACACTCGTTGTACTTGTCGTACTGTTCGTCCAAGTTGAAGACCCCGCCCCGCTGTTTGGCGGCTGCCAGCTCGGAGTGGTATTCCCCGACGCAAACCGTGTGCGGCAGATTCTCGCCGAAGGGTGAGGTGAACGTCGGGAGAGAGAGTCGGAGAACGAAACTGTCTGGATCATCGCCATCCACGTCTAACGTCAGGTCGAAGAGTGGAGTGCTGGTGGAAGCAAGCAATGAGGTGTATTGTCATGCTCTTTGCAGGAAGTCGATTCGATCAGTCAAATCCGCAAAGCTAGTACAAGTGCTACGAAGCTCTCCTTGCTCTTTGTACTTACAAATGCATCTTCATCATCGTAGTCAAGGTTTCGGTCAGGTCAAAAGCGCCCGTCCCGCTGGTCGCGTCGCACAGCGATTCAAGGGCCGAGAACACTTTCATGCTATCGCTCAGTCGCTCTAACACGCCCTGGTTGCTCGTCCGCAGACAGCCGTCAAAGAAGACCTTCGCAGCACCTAAGTCCGGGTCATCCGGAAGCACTGACGCGAGCTCTCCTGCCAGTCAACAAGTGTGTGGTTATTCTTCTCTGTGTGACTGTTTGCTTTACATGTAAATATTAAACTTAACCTTACCATCATAGGCCACTGCTACCTAATATCCCCAAAATACTATTCATGATCACACATGAAGGGGAAT